TTGTAGTTATTAAGGAAATATATGAGGAATGAGCAAATGCACCAACAAGGTTCTTGGGTTTTAGAACAGACGCCATCTAGAGCAGGCTGGTCTGTGAGCGCTCGGCCAGGGTCAAGGCTCCCTTCCCCACTCCACTCCACTCTACTCCACGGTATAGCAGCCCGGACTAAAGTACACTTCTGTCTGCCTGTAGGGGCTGGAGCTGAGGCTGGATTCCTTTCTCACCAGCTGCTTCCTTCTGCCCTCCCCTCAGTGATGGCTCTCCAGGCCAGCTGCACCAGCGAATGCCAGCTCCTAGGGTTTTGCTGCTGCATCATCATCACCATCATCATCACCATCACCATCATCACCATCATCATCATCACCATCACCATCATCATCACCATCACCATCATCATCATCATCATCTTGAATTCCCAGCATCACCCTCATGGCCCCATTTTATAGGCATTCAGACCAGCCAGAGGCAGACCCTGGGAGGCCTGCATCTCTGTCACCCTGGTCTGTCTGTCACCTGCCCAGGTTCCAGGAGCAGGGAACCCACCTCCTGTCCTATTTTCTGCATCTCTGCAATGCCTCTGTGCCCTTCCAGCCATCTAAGGCCTCCCACTGCCTGCCAGTAACTCTCCGTAAGAAATTCTCTCTGCCAAATAGCTGCTCTGATTTCCTGGTTAGACAGTGACTGGTGCCTGTCTAGCTACATCTCTTTCTGCCCCTCCCACTTTATAACTCACTGTTGAGGGAATTCTTCCACGGCAGGCAAGTCTCTGTCATCTCGCCTCAATGAGTTGACTATAATGGACATTGCTTCTTTCCTCCGGCATTGAGGCAAAATGTGGCTCCCTGTTGCTGCCACTCACTTGGATCTTGAATCCTGAATCCTGATGGCACATGAAATAAATTTCCAGGAATTTTAGGGCTCCAATGCCAAGCAGCTTGGGTTTAGAATTCTGTCCTTGCTCTGTGGCCGTGGAGGAGTTACTTCCAATGAATAACGTAATAGTGGCTGTCTCACGGGGCTCCAATGAGGGCTTGGAATAAGTACTTAGGACAGTAGTCACCTGCACAGAGAAGGAGTTCAGTGGACTGGATTCGGCGAAGGTGCCACTGCCAGCCTTGCAGGGGGCGGCCTTTCCACTCTGAAGGCCAGCTTGCCTGTCCTCCCTCAGCCTTGCCCACAGAGAAGCCTGCGCCCTTCTCCAGGGTCAGGAACCATCTGGAGCCCCCGTCTGCCTGCCCTGATGTGAGGAGATCCCAGGAGGCATTTCAGGTGGAGCTAGCTCTGCGCACCCTCCACCCCGTTCCCTTAGACATGCACCTCTGTGACAGAGGCTAATTAGGAGCCTGCTGTTGGTCTAATTTCCCAGGGCCACCTCACTGCTCCTCTTCTGCTCTGTGTCTGCAGGATAGTGGGTTCCTGGGCAGAGAACAATTTTCTCCTGTGTGCCCCTTCCATGAATTCAGTAGGGGTTCAACTTGTCTTTCCTCTCCAGGGATGTTCTTGACACAACTGTGTCTGTGTTGTTGTTGTTGTTTGGGGGGGGGGGTGCAGTATTTTGCTGTGTGGTATTTTGGACACTGCTGACCCTCTTTGGACTTGACTCATTAGCTAAGACTGAGAGTTCCGACACCAAGGAATGGCAAAATGCTTCCTTTGCTACCGTGAGGGGAGCTAAAAGTCGAGTGTGTGCAGGCTCGGCCTTTTACTTTCCAGTGAGAAAGTTTTGCCTTGCACACTCCTGGTATTTTCGCTCTGCTTTCCCTTGTGCCAGCTCCGTCTCCAGCCCTGTGGACTCTTTCCCACTCACAGCGCCCTCGGCTTCACCAGCTTCTCCGCTGCTGGATTTCTTGGCCCTGGCCTGCGTGGCACAAGCAGTGACTTAGTGTCAGCCTGGGGAGGACAAGGGTGGGATCTTCCTCCGGACCCACGCGGGGTGGGGCGTGGGGAGCGTGGATGGACAGCATTCCCAGTGGACAGATGGACTTTTCTGCGAGGACAGACGGGTATTCCCACGTGGACAGATGGCATTCCCACATGGACAAACGGCATTCCCCTGTGGACAGATGGACTTTTCTGCGTGGATGGACCGGTATTACCATGTGGACAGATGGGCCTTCCCACATGGACGGATGGGCATTCCCGAGCGGACAGACGGGCTTTCCTGCGCAGTGGGAGGTGGGATCTTCCTCAGGACTCACACGGGGTGTGGGGAGTGTGGACAGGTGGCTTTCCTGCACGGCGCGTGGAGGGATGGGCTTTCCCGCGTGGACTGACAGGCTTTCCCACATGGACGGGCTTTCCCACGTGGACAGGCTTTCCCGCATGGACAAGCTTTCCCGCGTGGATGGGCTTTCCCACGTGGACGGGCTTTCCCACGTGGACAGGCTTTCCCGCATGGACAGGCTTTCCCGCGTGGACGGGCTTTCCCATGTGGACTGACGGGCTTTCCCGCATGGACTGACAGGCTTTCCCGCGTGGACTGACAGGCTTTCCCGCGTGGACGGGCTTTCCCACGTGGACAGACGGGCTTTCCCACGTGGACTGACAGGTTTTCCCGCATGGACTGACAGGCTTTCCCGCGTGGACGGGCTTTCCCGCGTGGACTGACAGGCTTTCCCGCGTGGACTGACGGGCTTTCCCGTGTGGACGGGCTTTCCCGCGTGGACTGACAGGCTTTCCCGCGTGGACTGACGGGCTTTCCTGCGTGGACGGGCTTTCCCACGTGGACTGACGGGCTTTCCCACGTGGACGGACGGGCTTTCCCGCGTGGATGGGCTTTCCCACGTGGACGGACGGGCTTTCCCGCGTGGACTGACGGGCTTTCCCACGTGGACGGACGGGCTTTCCCGCGTGGACGGACGGGCTTTCCCGCGTGGACTGACGGGCTTTCCTGTGTGGACGGGCTTTCCCGCGTGGACTGACGGGCTTTCCCGCGTGGACTGACGGGCTTTCCTGCGTGGACAGGCTTTCCCGCGTGGACGGACGGGCTTTCCCGCGTGGACTGACAGGCTTTCCCGCGTGGACTGACGGGCTTTCCCGCGTGGACGGGCTTTCCCGCGTGGGCGGGCTTTCCCGCGTGGACTGACAGGCTTTCCCGCGTGGACGGGCTTTCCCGCGTGGACGGGCTTTCCCGCGTGGACTGACAGGCTTTCCCGCGGGGACTGACGGGCTTTCCCGCGGGGACTGACGGGCTTTCCCGCGTGGACGGGCTTTCCCGCGTGGACGGGCTTTCCCGCGTGGACGGGCTTTCCCACGTGGACGGGCTTTCCCGCGTGGACGGGCTTTCCCGCGGGGACTGACGGGCTTTCCCGCGGGGACTGACGGGCTTTCCCGCGTGGACGGGCTTTCCCGCGCGGCGGGCGGCGGGAGCCGCTGCCGCGAGCGTGGCCACCGGCACCGCCTGAGGGGGGGACGGCCACGCGCGAGGCGGCTCCTCGCCCCCCCCAAGGAGCCGCCGGAAGCGTGGTGCGGCCACTTCCGCTGTGCTCAAGGCCGCCTACAGATGACGGCACGTGCACCGGCCCCTGAGGGCGAGGCCGCGCGAAGGCGGGCGGGAGCTCCGGTGGGCGGGACCTCCGGCGGGCGGGGTGCCCGGATGGAACCCACCGACGAAGGCGCAGGCGCGTGTTCTCCTGAGTGGGCGCGGCCGGCGCCGGGCCGCGTGTGGGCTCCGCGCGGGGACGAGCGCGTGGGCCGGCCCGGGCCCCGGGCGACGCGGGGAGACGGCGGCTCCGAGCCGGCCTGGGCAGCGGGGCTCCGCGCGACGCGGCGTGCGTGGGGCGCGGCTGGGCGTGGAGGGCCGCAAGCACCGAGGGGGCGGGCGCGGCCTCCTCACCGGGCCGCCGTCCTCCGGTCCACCTGCCCGGGCCACCCCGGGCGACCAGCGCCCCTCAGCCCGGCCTCTCTGCCATGCGCGCCCGGCCCCCCCCAGGGGCCTCCCCGCAGGGGCCTCCCCCCAGGGACCTCCCCCCAGGGGCCTCCCCGCAGGGGCCTCGGCGTCCCCGCCGGCCTCCCCCCAGGGGCCTCCCCCCAGGAGCCTCCCCCCCCAGGAGCCTCCCCCCAGGGGCCTCCCCGCAGGAGCCTCCCCCCAGGGGCCTCCCCGCAGGGGCCTCCCCCCAGGGACCTCCCCCCAGGAGCCTCCCCCCAGGGGCCTCGGCGTCCCCGCCGGCCTCCCCCCAGGGGCCTCCCCCCAGGAGCCTCCCCCCCCAGGAGCCTCCCCCCAGGGGCCTCCCCGCAGGGGCCTCCCCCCAGGGGCCTCCCCGCAGGGGCCTCCCCCCAGGGGCCTCCCCCCAGGAGCCTCCCCCCAGGGGCCTCCCCGCAGGGGCCTCCCCCCAGGGACCTCCCCCCAGGAGCCTCCCCCCAGGGGCCTCGGCGTCCCCGCCGGCCTCCCCCCAGGGGCCTCCCCCCAGGGGCCTCGGCGTCCCCGCCGGCCTCCCCCCCGAGGGGCCTCGGCGTCCCGGCCTCCCCCCAGGGGCCTGGGCGTCCCCGCCGGCCTCCCCCCAAGGGCCTCGGCGTCCGGGCCGGCCCCCTCCCTCGCCCCGAGCGCTCTCTGCCACAGCGCGGCCGCCTGCAGGAGCCGCGGGCTGCAGCTCCTCCCTCCCGGCGCGGCTCCTCCCGGGTCTCCTCGGCGAGCGCCTGGCGCCCCCGCGGGGCGGCCCCGGCCGGCGTCCTCCCCGCGTCCTCGGGGTGAGCCCCGGCCCGGGCTCCCCGCGTCCTCGGGGTGAGCCCCGGCCCCGCGTCCTCCCCGCGTCCTCGGGGTGAGCCCCGGCCCCGCGTCCGCCCCGCGTCCTCGGGGTGAGCCCCGGCCCCGCGTCCGCCCCGCGTCCTCGGGGTGAGCCCCGGCCCGGCGCCCCGCGTCCTCCCTCCCGAGGTGAGCGCCGCCGACTGGACAGCACGAGGCGACGGGAGGGAGGGAGCCCGCCTCCCTCCGACGCCGGGCGCAGAAGCTGGACCTGCTGCAGAGGCAGCCGTGCCGGGCTGCGCTGTGCTGTGCCCGGAGCTAGGCTCTCTGGGGGCTTCCTGGGGCTCACCCAGGCAGGCTCCCCGGTCCAGGGACCTGCGAAGCCAGAGCCATCATCATCTCCGGCTGCCCCGGCCAGGACCCGGCTGCTTTCCGTCACCATGAGCGGCTGCTCCAAACGATGCAGGCTCGGGTTGGTGAAATTTGCCCAGACCATCTTCAAGCTCATCACCGGGACCCTCAGCAAAGGTAGGGAGACTGGCTGCGAACCTCATTTCCCGCTTGGATGCGTCCCGACTCCCGTGTGGCCTTTGTGTGGCGGAGAGTGTGGCTGTTCTGGTGTACCAGAGTTCCAGGGGCGGCTGGAATTCTAGGATGCTGACCACCTGGGTCCTGGTTCTGGGCGGGCGGGCACCCTGTCTGGGAGCTCAGCTGACTGTAATTGCCTGGGACTTTGGAAACGGGGTTGCCGGCGTGCGGCTGATTGGCTACAGGCAGAGGAACAGAGCCCTTGTCAGCGCTGGAAGTGCCTTAGCATGACTGGAGTTTCATGAAGTTACCCACAGAGAGTTGTGTGGTGTTGCTAAGAGAGATTGGATGCGGTGAACGGTGAGCCATTCTGCGGGTCAGATAATGCTTGAGGGACACCGCAGGAGGTGGCCCAAGGCTGGAACCAGCCTCGCACTGGTGAGTTCAGATCAGCTCTGCTTTTGAGTGCCAAGAGCTTGTTTTGGTGGAGTTCCAGGCCTTGTGTTTCTGGATGCCATGCCTGCTCTGTTTCCGTGGGTGTCTATAATTCCACATTGCTGCTCGTGTCAGTGTCACTGTCCCTGCTTCTCCAAACTGCCGTGACAGACAGTTTGCAGGATTGTCTGGCCCAGAGGCTGGGGAGCAGAATCAGGGACAAGTGTGCATCCTTAGCCCCACACGGGCCAACAGCCCCTGGCCAGAAGGCAGCTAACTTCTTAGGGACCCCACCGCAGCATCTGTGCTGGGGAGCGTGGCAAACTTTCCAGAGTTGAATTTATAGAGTGACTAGTAGTAGTATGTGGTTCCAATAGCTGAAAAAGTCTTTAAATATTCATGGCCTCTTTCTGGAAAGATGAGTCCTTTGGGGGGGCGGGGATGGAGAGAGGGGAGAGGCACTGGAAATGTGAGGCCAAATATTCAGGCAGGAGGACCACAAACTCCTCACTGGCATTTTATAAACTTGAAATGGAAGAGGGTATGGGTGCCAGCCCTGGTGACGGGACCCAGGTCCCCAGCTGCCCAGTGTCCCAGGGTAAATACAGTGGCAGAGGTGGGTGGGAAGTGGTGAGATTCCTCTTATTTCCTTTTCCAAATTGCTGATGTTTCCCTACTACCTTCCTGAAAGAGGACACTCCCCCCACCAGGACACCCAGGACCCTGATGTTCACAGTCAGAATGCCTGGTCAGGCCACCGCAGGCCTGGCATGGGGGCACAGGAGGGGAGGGGAACACAGCAGCAGAGCTCCCAGCCAGGGGCTTCACTTCCCAAGACCTTGAGAGGGTGACATCCTGTCCCAGACTCACTTCCCAGAAAGCACTCCGGCCTGAATGGAGCAAAAGCTGGGTCTCAGCCCTGATCTGCTACCTGGGAAAGCCACATCACAGTTCCAAGGGTCCAGGGCAGTTGGAACTGGAAACCTTGGTGGAGTGTGCTGCGTTGACGCTTGTCAGGAGACAGGCCACAGGCAGAGAGGGGTAGGGGTCTGCAGATGCCAGTGGTGGCACAGACCTGTCCCCTGCAGGGCTCTTGGGTTTTGCTGACTGCAGGTGTGTCTGTGCACTCGAGGCAGCCACAGCAGAGAGCTGTTGCAGAAGAATGTTATGCAACAGGGGAAGAGTGAGTCTGCTAGGGAAAGCATGCAAAAAAGTTCGTGTTTGTGTGCAGACAAGAGACACAGGGAGTCAGCTAGATGGCCATTTGAACAGAGGAGCCTGAGCATATTTTTTCTACCTATTTGTCTATGTTCATTCACTCATGTATTTCCTGAGTTCCTCCCATGTGCTCCAGACAGTGGACATGGGGGTGAATGTGGAGTGTGCAGTCTGGTGAGTCCACCCGGACGTCCTGCTGAGTGCTGAGATGAAGGGAAACCTGGCCCCTGAGCACAGAGCCCCGGTCCTGGGGCAGACGGTGGAGTCTGTGAGCTGAGATGGGAGGAGGCGGGGCTGGCAGGGCAAGAAGGCTGCGCTGGTGGAGACAGCCACTTTGGGATGGAGGCCCCTGCAACAAAGCGGGGAGGACAGGGTGCTCAGAATCCCAGAGAGGGGATGGAGTGGCCACCTGTCCTGCCTCCGACCCGCTCCGGGGCCGGGTTTTCTGTGGGCAGGCGCCAGGGGAAGAGAATATCCTAACTGCATCTGTGCCATTCGCCTCCGCTGCACAGAGAGAACCAAGCGTTACTCTGCCTTGGCTCTGTGCCAGGCTCGGACAGGGCACCTGGTGCCCTGCCCCACCCAGGTGACTGTGAAGTATCTGCTAAGGGGCTGGGAAGGTGGCTCAGTGGTAGAGTGCTTACCTAGCATACGTGAGGCCCTGGGTTCCATTCCTCAGCACCACATATACCAATAATAATAATTAAATTCTGGCTTAGGTCAGTGACGATGCAGGAGCGGAGCTAGTCCTGGAGCGGGAGGCTGAGAAAGGTCTGAGGAAGCCTAGAGGATGCTTTGCCGTGTGCACCCCACCCCCACCTCAGGTGGATGTGGAAGCCACCCTTTATGGACACATTGACCACCTACTGATTGCTAGCCTCTGTTGTGATTTCATTGATGCATTCATCATTCATGGCACTGAGTTCTAGATTTGCAGAGACCCAGTCTCGAGAGGAGGGTTTGCAGGGTTAAGGATGGCACACCCCGCCCCCTCTTCCCCTTTCTGTCCCGGGAATAAGTTATTTCTCACCAGCTTTGGGAATTTCTGGGACACAAGGGAGGCTCCAGACGACTCTCTGTGCTGTTCTGCCGGCTGCCGGCCCATGGTCACCTCTCCCTGACTCTGAGGGCCCTGGGGTACCAGGAAGGCTGTGGTCCACCCTCTCGGCCCTGCCTGCCTCTGGACTGTGACTCCTTCCTGATTCCAGCAACCCAAGATATTGCTGGCATCAAGATGCCCCGTCGGCGGCCTGCTGCAGGGGTGAAGTCACCCCGTGCAGAGATGAGGTCCCCACACGTGTCTCCTACCCCTGACAGTTTGTGATCACGTGACCCCTGTGAGACCCTGGTGTGAAAGCCCGTGTTCCCCACACCCTCGAGCTCTGTGAGCCAAGGCAACGTGCCCTGTGCTTCCACCCACAGAATGGCTGGTATGGAGCCCAGCCCAGAGGAGGCGCCTCGCGATGTGTGCAGTGAACGAAGCCCAGCATTGGGCAGACACCAGCTTGGGATACTGAGGTGTCAGGTGCCTGGGAAGCCCTGTGCAGCACCTGCCCCACACATGTGCAACCACAGGAGCTCTGTCTGAGGACGGAGGAAGCCACCTTACGCCTCTGGCGAGTTCATCAGAACTGTGAACCAGCAGTCCTGTTCAGGGAAGCCACCTGCCATGCCAGGGTAGTGACAGATTCCAGAGGGTAGCGTGTTTGGGGTGCAGGAAAGAGCACCAGAGGCCAAGGTTGTATGATAGCCACACCCTTCTCTTTGTCAGGAGAGGTTTGCCCAAGGGGGCCCTCCCCCAGATCTCCCATTCTCAGCAAGGCAGCTGCAAGAAGCTCTCCTGATGAGGAGATGCTCAGAGTTTAGGGCTCTAGGCACGTGGAGGTGAAATGTGGAGGTGCATACTAGGGGTGTGCGTCGATCCCACAGCATAACCAGCCTGCCCATCTCCTGCAGTAGCCCATCGCTCCCTGATTCATTTGAGCTGGCCAGATGCTCTCTGGGGTCTTCATAGGTCTGTGGCAGTGGAAGAGGGGGAAGCTGGATTCCCAGCATGTGCCAAGTTGCCCTTCTCTGCTACTCCTCCCCACCCCCACCTCTCTTTCTTTCTCCTAGATAACCCTAATTCCAGGCAGGAATAATTTGTTCAGGGCTGTTTTTCCTGGCACTGGTGTGCAGACATCTTATTAACTTCAGGACCACGGGGGAGCGGCTAGTTTGTTCCAAATTAAAAGTAGCTAGAAATAGGCCCCTTGGCAGGTGTGGGGGAGGTATGCACTGTGATACCATAGCACAGAGAGGATCAGAGCAAGCAAGGTCCTTCTCAGTCTTCGCAGGCCCCAAAGGCTCGCCGTCTGTGGCCGTCACCTTCCCCAGTCTCCTCCGTGTTACAGAATTTCCCCACGTCCCAAGCCCCAGTCTACTCCCCAAGGGGAGAAGTGGTGGTGTGAAGTAGCTATGGAAGGAAGCAGGTGTTAGGAAAGAAGTCACAGCTCTGGGGCCAGATTTGCAGGAGATCCTGCTGGCTATGGTAAGCAAGCCACCTTCCATCCTAGGTCCCTGTCCTCATACCGTGGGGCCCATCGTGCCCACATCGGGGGCACTGGGGCCGGGAGAAGATGGGGCACAGCCCCGGCACTTATGGTCAACCAGGAGAAGTCTCCTCCTCTCATGGGCCTCAGCTGGGGTTGTAGCTGGAAGGGATGAGGCTGAACTGAACAACATGGGCTGTGTGGGGCAGCTCTTCTTCCTGTTCCAGTTTACATGTGCTGCTGCACCTCCCGGCCTGTCTGCACAGCAGTCATTCACTTGACGTAGTTGTCTGTGTGTTCACCTACATCTACCCTGTGGGAGTGTGAGCCTGGATGCTCTTTCACCCTGTGGGAATTGTCCATGGTGCCTCGGGCACCTAACCCTGGGGATTTAGAGCCACCAGGTGCTTTTCCTGGCAGGCAGCCTTGGGGTGGGTGGTCATTGCTCCTCCGGGAGATTCCTGGTGCTCTGTTCTGAATTACTGTGCTGAGACTGACAAGTGGCCAGAGTGATTGTCGCAAGATGAGTGCAAGCAAGGTTTGTTTTGCTCTGCCCTGGGTGGCCGTGGGCAGCAGCTCCCATCCTCATTCACACAGCTGGCCCTACAATGCCCCTGCAGACAACGTATCGGTCAGGTGAAGCCAGCGCTCTCCCCAGTGTCCATCTGCTCCCCATCCTGAAGGGCACGAAGAGGGCTCCGGCATCTGAGGGTCCCCCAGGGAGCAGAGGAGGTCTTTTCATGGGAGGAAGAAGATGAGAACCCTACACAGGGTGCCCAAGCCAGCTGAGAGAAGCCCATTTGCACTGTAAAGCTC